TGGCCACGCTCCAAGCCTGATCAAGGTTGGTAATTGTGAACTATCTTGAAAGACTGTGGGAGAGGAAAAACTTTGCTGGAGAGGAATTCACTGTAAATTAAATAAAAGGGATTTATTGGGACGAGGACGAGGCTTCGTGCTGCTGGGGGAGCCTGGGTCAGAACACTTTCCTTTCAACATCTCACTCAAGAAAGAATTGTGGGAAATTGAAATGTTCTGGTTTGCAGGTCCTATCGAACACAGAATGTTTTTGAAGCAGTTGTCTATTTCTATTTATTTCTGTGGAGAAGCAAAAAGATATCTGGTGCTAACAAAAGTACAGCTATTGAATAACTGTTTTCTGGGTTCTAAAAAGAACAACCTCACTTAATGAATGGTTGGACATATTTAAAATAACAAGGATCAGGCCCCAAAAAGTTGGCACATACCGTTTCGTGCATTGGCTAGGCGTGCTTGAGTTGAAATCTCTTAATCGGTATATTCCAAAGCAGAGCATATTGTAAGTTTTCAAAGCTTTACAAAATAGATCTCCATAACAACCACCATCCTAGGAAACAATAAGCAAACAAACAAATACATAAAAGAAATGTTTTCCCCACCCTCTCAGTTATCACTATGACATGGAACATGAGGGAAATAATTTAAATCAATAGTTCTTTGCCAAAGAAAGTGTAAGGGAATCTGCTGCAAGTGAGAGACAATTCCTCAAGGAACTCTTTCATTTTAAATGTTCAATCTTGGAACAGCTAATAAATATGTGCACAACAACCCTAACCACAATCAAAGTGCTGGAAATGGGAACATCAGTCTTATTTGAAATGAACTCCCAAGTTTGGGATCCGCAGATCAGCTGCTCCCACAAATGAAGAACAATGCAATCTGGGATGATTAAGAACACGCAACATTTGCTTTCTTGCTCTAATCGTGGAAGTAGCTTCATTTGGTGATGTTGTCAATTGTCATGAAGGTAGTTTGGATTTTAGCAAGGAGAAGATGATGTCATAGGACAGGACTGTTCCACCTTGCTCTGGAAAAAGGGAGGAGGAGGAGGACAAGGAGGGAACATGTAGAAGAGGAAGAGGAGGAGGAGGAGGAGGAGGAGGAGGAGGGAAGGTGGAGAAGGAGAAGAGAAGGAGGAGGAGAGAA